AGAAGGATTCCCACGGGTGTGTACACTCCTGCATTCCACAACCAATACTGGACTTCACGGGCCATGGTGAGCTCCCACGGTCTAATCCCAAGTTATAAGCCCTTGTTCTAGTGCCTGACTATGAGTGTGAAGGTGGTATACAGCAGATACTTCATAGACACTTGCTGCATACACATTCAACGTAGATTTACTGGGTACAAATCTGTTCTATAAAGCTGGTAGTTTTAAACCCAGTCACCCCTTCTAATGATCCTTCCGGGTAAAATGCTCTCAGGCTGAACCTTATGACGTTGCTAAGATCTGATTGTGTCTGACCTACAAAAAATGACAACTTCAGCCGGGGAGTGGTAGCATACACCCTGAATCCCAGCCCTCGGGATGCAGAGGCACGCGGATCTCTGTGAGTTTGAGGCCAGCCTGGTCTACAGAGTGAGTTTCGGGACCCTATCTTGAAAAACAAAACAAACAAAAAACATAAATAGCAACATCATCTGGTCTGACTCAGTTACTCCCACTGGCTGGAAGACTGGTACAGGAAGGTAAAACGACCCGTTCAAGGAGACACAGGCACAGCTGACGGACAAGCAGCGGGGTCTGACCCAGTCAGCTCGCAGTTCTCTCTGCTGTCCACCCAGCTGCCAGTTTTCCAGGCACAGCAGATGGCCAACAACTTCATGGCCAGAAAGGACACCTCACAGAATAGCCCCCAGGAGCAAATGCCGGCCTGAGCCTGGGTGAAGATGTCCACAGAGTCAGCAGCAATACCAGGCTGTTGTCTGCAAAGCTAATGGCTGTGAGTGCCACAGACCGCCATCTCGAATCTAGATGGCCCTCTCAGGAGACAGGAGGAGAACCAGGCATGCAGAGAGGCCTGGGTTCAAATTCCATCCCTGTGGCTACTCATGCTCACAAGTGAACTACTGCATGAGTTTGAATGCAGGTTCAACCAGCTGTGTGGGCCCTGTCACTCAACCTCCGTCATCCTGCTCGCCACAAAATGAGCATAATAAACAATGTCCCTCATTAGGGGACTATGGGGATTAAATGAGAGACTCTCGCGTGTGTGTGTGTGTATGTGTGTGTGTGTGTGTGTGTGTGTGTGTGTGTGTGTATGTGTGTGTGTGTGTGCGTGTGCACACAGGTGCATGGGGACAGGTGCATGTGTAAGTGTGTGCAGACACCAGAAGACAGTCATTTCTCAGGAGCCACCCATCTTGGATTTTTTTGGGACAGAGTTCCTCCCTGGCCTGGAATGGCAGGTAAGGCAAGGCTGGCTGGTCAGCGATCCCCAGAGATCCACCTGGCCCCTCTTCCCTCCCAGTGCTGGAATTACAATCGGGTACCACATGCTTGACTTTTTTTTTTATTTCCTCCACAGGTTCTGGGGATCAAATCAGGGTCTCATGCTTCACTATGAGTATCATTTCCACAACCCTGGAGGAATTTTCTAAAGGACTTAGCATCTCACAGACATATAGCAACAAATAATGGTTGTCTCATGTAAAGTAGACTTGGCTTTTATTAAGTGTTACTATTATAACGACACTATTATCATGCTAAGATCCACCGATTCATCCAAAGGGTCCACCGCCACTCTTTCTATGGTCTATGTAAGGATGTCAAGGCTTAGAGAGGTTCAGTGTTTTTCTCCAGCTCAACCAGCTGGCCAGTGGCAGAGCAGAGATGAGAAATAAGGTCAGCCCCTCTGGCTCCACATCCAGACACCCTAGAACTTGGTCCCATTCAGCACGTGCATATGGCTGGGAAATAGGAGTCTGTGCTGGTAACTCTGAGCCAGCCACACACACTCTCCTTCATCTTGGCTGTGTAAGGCTATGGGGGTGGACATGGGATCCGGGACATATCCTGCATGGCTCTGAGAGTTCAGGGCAGGGAACAAAAGCTCAGTATTAGAGGATATTGATCTCTGGATAAATCCTGGGGTCTATTTTAAAAATAAATCTCAAGCCGGGTAGTGGTGGCACATGCCTTTATTCCCAGCACTTGGGAGGCAGAGCCAGGTGGATCTCTGTGATTTTGAGGCCAGCCTGGTCTATAGAGTGAGTTTCAGGACTCTCTCTCTCCCTCTCATATATATATATATGTGTGTGTGTGTGTGTGTGTGTGTGTGTGTGTGTGTGTGTGTGTGTGTGTGTGTATGTATGTGTATGTGTATATGTATCCATTTTCTTGTTATTGGCTCAGGCTTCAAATTACCATGCTCCCAAATGGCTCTGGGTGGTAGAGGAGGGGACCTGGCCTTGCTCTGCCTTGGTGGGGTGGACATCACACGAGGAGGTGGTGGGACTCAGGTCCTTCCCAGAGCTTCTGTGAAGTCTGGGTGCTGGGATCTAAACTCATAGGGGGACTGTTAGAGAGATTAAGTGGTACCCATGCATTGACCATGAAAGCAGGTTTCTGTCTTTGTTGTTGTATGTGTGGGTGCATGTTACATGTATGTGTGTGCAGGCACCTGTGCATGCATGTAGAGGCCAGAGGTCAACTTCATACACCTTGTTTTTTCACTGACTTCGGGCTTGCTAAGCAGGCTAGGCTGTCTGGCCAGGAAGTCCTAAAGATCTTGTGCACTCACCTCCCCAGCCCAGGCACAGCAAAGAGAAATTCCACAGTTTTCACATGGGTGCTGGGGCTTGAACTCAGCTCCTCATGCTTGAGAGGCAAACACTTTAGGCCCCGATCTGTCTCCCCATCCCGTGGAAACAATTCTTCCTATCTTTTTTTTTTTTTAATGTTTTGCCCACTTGTCATGCTTATGTACCATTTTTCATGCCAGGTGCCCAAGGAGGCCAGCGAAGGGCTGCTGGATCCCCTGGGACTGAAGTCGCCGATGGTTGTGAGCTGCCATGTAGATGCCAGGACTTAAACCTGCTCCAAACGAGCAGCCAGCGCTCACATCTTCTGTGCCATCTCTCCAGCCCCAACAACACTTAACACTCAAGTGCACAAAATGTGTCTCCATCTGCTCCCATGATGGCAGCTGGAGGGAGAGCTGCAGTCGTGACTTCTTCCTAACACACCAGTGGAATGTGTCTGCCACTTCTCAGTGACCCTTCTCCTATGATGCTGACGATGGCCTTTCCCATCGCTCCGTTCAGTAGTCACTTGAAGATCTTTTTTTTTTTTCTCCTGAGACAGGGTTTCTCTGTGTAGTTTTGGTGCCTGTCCTGAATCTCCCTCTGTAGACCAGGCTGGCCTCGAACTCACAGAGATCCTCCTGGCTCTGCCTCCCGAGTGCTGGGATAAAAGGCGTGCACTACCACCATCCAGTATCACTTGAAGATCTTAATGGAAATGTTAACAGCTTATTTTTATATTTATGTCCAGAGTGATTTCTAAGCCCAGGAACTTTCTCTTCAAATGTTCTGAGCTGATCTGCATTCCGAGGCTCTGCTCTCTCTTGCCCCCCCCCCCCTCCCCCGCCCAGGCCAGCAGTACAGGGCTGAGGGCTGAGGATGTGGCTCCATGGGCAGAATGCTTCCTAGCATGCACAGAGTTCTGGGTTCTAACCCTAGCACTATGGAAACTGGGTGTGGAAGTACATGCCTGTAGACCCAGCACTGGGGAGGTGGAGGCAGGAGGATTATAAATTCAAAATCATCTTTGGCTACATGGTGAGTTCAAGAAGAGCCTTGGCCATATGAGACCCAGACATTACACACACACAAACACACACACACACACACACACACAGAGGCTGAATCCAACCACTTCCTACCAATGTCCCCGCCCCCTGGTGTAGCCACCATGGTGTCTGGCTTGCATGGCTCAAGAGCCACCTCCCTGGCTTCCCAGCTTCAGTGTTTTCTCTCGGTTCTCCACACAATATCCAGAGAAGCCTTTGCTGGGACTGTAACAGAAAGTCAGTCCTCAGCTCAGAACTTGCTGGGGCTCCCCACTTCACTTAGAGGAGAAGCCAAAGTTCCACATGGCTGACAATCACACCCACCTCCCATTCCCGCCCCGACTCCACCCTAGCCATGCCTGCTCCACCTACAAACCTTTGCACTGGTTATTCCCCTGGCCTCCAGGGCTCTCCCTGGCCTTCAGGGCTCTCCCTGGCCTCCAGGGCTCTCCCTGGCCTTCAGGGCTCTCCCTGGCCTCCAGGGCTCTCCCTAGCTATTCTCCTGGCCTTCAGGGCTCTCCCTAGCTATTCTCCTGGCCTTCAGGGCTCTCCCTAGCTATTCCCCTGGCCTGCTGTGCTCTTCCTTGGAGTTATCTGAGCAGCCCACTCTCTGAGTGCCTTTGCGTCTTTGTTCAAATGAAACACTCTTGATAAGGCCCTCACTTAAACCCCCATGTAAGCCCACAACACCCCCGCCCCCTACTCTGTGTCCATCTCCCTACATAGCTCACTCGTGTGTGTGTGGTACCCACTCTGTGCTGGGTGTCCTGTTAGTGGCAGGGAGACAAGTCCAGATCTGGAGAAGACCTGCCATATCTGCAGGGAGACCAGGCAAGAGCTAGGACGATGTCCCTGGTAAGATGGGCTGCACTGGCTCAGACTAGGGTTAAGACTGGGATGGGTGGAGTCAGGGAGGGATGGTGCTGATGCATGATGGGGTCATCACAGGAAGCGCACATGGAACAGCAGGGCAAAAGCCACAAAGTGAGAGGCAGCCTGGCACATCCAGGGCCAGCGCGGCTTTAGAGAGGGGCAGGAGAGGTGACTCAGGGGATAAGGGCACTTGCTGCACATCATGAGGACCAGAGTTCGGATCCCAGCACCCATGTAACAAGCCAGGCGTCCCACAAGCACCTGTCACTCCAGTTCCAAGGGATGTGACGTTCTCTGTGCGGGCATAGGTAGGTGTACATCCCCCACACACCCCAACCCTCCATGGCTCATACACTCAGTCACATATACTCCTGTGCACACATACATGCTTAAACACAAATGAATCTTGAAGGAGGGGGAGGAGGAGGAGCAGCTGGAGGACTGCGTGGAGATGGCAGAGGAGGGCCCCAGGGTGGGTACGTACTGTGGCCACTGGTGTAGTGCTGCAGCTTGTCGGTGTACTCGGAGTCGGCGCGCTCAAACCCCCGTCTTCTGGAACAAGAGCAAAGGGCTGGAGCCACCTGGAGGCACCCGGGGAGGTGGGAGCCACAGTAGGTGATAGGGAGAGAGGGTGGGCAAGCCCTTCAGGCCACTCCCCTCTGGAGGTGGTGGTGTCTAGGCCTGTCCTTTGTCCACCCTTGCCCTGGTCCTCCTTGTCCTTCCCATTCTCCCTCCTCACACCCAGGCTCGCTCTGTCTCCTGTCCTCTCTGCGGCCAAGTCCCTTTAAGGGAAGATTCTAGTTGTGGCTTCCGATTCGACTAACCTCAAGAGCTCTGTCTGTCTGTCTGAGCTTGCTCTGGTCCTCGGTTGGGGAGTGGGGGGAGGGGCACCTCTTTATAGCCATCAAGGATTGACTCCATCCTCCTGTCTCTGCCTTGCCACCCGCACCCCTGCCCAGCCCCTCCTGGCTAAGCTCCTCCCACATTTCCAGCCCTTCAGCCTCTGCCTGGGGAAATGAACAGTATCTTTCTTCCTCATCCCCACAGCTCCCAGCATCATGCCATCATCTTGCCCACTGTTCTGGAATGGTCCTCACTGCTGACGTGACTCAGTGTGCAACCCTGTCCACGCACTTGTTTGGACAGCACCTGATTCTACTGTGTGGGTGGCCGATGGTCACCTAAGGTATCCTGGCCTCCTGGAATCCCTCCCTGCCACCAGTAGCTCCCAACTATGGAGGACGACCAGGCCCAGAAGCCGCCACCCACCTGTTACATACGATGGCAATGACGACCACGGCGATGAGGAAGACTAAGCCAGCCGCGGAGGAGCCGACGATGAGAGGCAGCTTCTCCTTGATGCTGGTCTGGTACTCGGCTGGAGAGACAGTGCAGTGGTTATCAGCCTGGTTTGGAGACCTGACCCTGCCTCTGTCCTCCAGCATGATGGTCTCGGAGGTGACCCCTACCATCCCCTCTTGCTTCTAATCCAGCAACTGCCTCATGCTTAGACATGAGAAGGCAAAGGCCTCCGACCAGTTTCAATCCTCACTTCTTCATCTATAAAGTGGGCACAGGGACCCCCGCATTCCCATGCTGAGGTGGTAATAAGCAAGAACGGCTGAGGCCCGGCTCCCTGGACAGGAAGCCTGACCACGCTGGGCAAACAGTCTGTCAACTGAGTAATACCTCCAAGATGGGCAGACTGACAGTTCTCATCCCATAGGATGGTGGGTACATCTCTGACAATTCTTGGCTCACAGTGAACACTCAGCCAGCTTGGACTCCCATTGTTACCGTTTGCAGTGTCAATCAGAGACTTCCACAGCAGCCCTGTGAAATGCTCTCTACAGTGGCCTCTCATGCTTGAGGAAACCAAGCTTGTGGAGGTCAGAATGGGCCTGAGGCTATCCAGGAAAGAAGAGGTCAAAGCCAGCATGCCAGCTCATCTGCCTGCCCCGAGGCCGGGATGTGAATGACAGTGCACAGATGCACTTGGCATCAGCTGGGCCGGTGCCAGCTGCCCCAGCACCCCGTCCATGTTATTATTAAGAAGAGGAGCTTGTCAAGGTCAAGGGGGTGAGGTCATTTTGGGTTCTTAGTGCCTGCACATGGCCTGGCATACAGCGGGGCCCTGGCACAGAACTGTTGAGTTAATAAAGAGGACTTGGGATCGTGCCCAGTCCCTGGCCAGTGAGCTCATCTGACATGAGGGGCACATAGGAAGGGCAGAGGGCAGAGGAGGCAAGTGTCGGAAGCCAGGTGAACATACAGGGAAGCCTTCTATAGTGGGACAGGAATTTATGGTCATCCAAGAACTCTGGATGGTTCAACCAGATGAGAGCCAATTTCCACACTCCATGGCCAGAGGCAAAGAAGCGACCCTGAAGTCTAACCATAAGCAAGTGTCCCAGAACTTGGTTGGTTGGTGACAGGCCCATGGAAAGGACATTATTATAAATATATGTGTCCTCAAACCAATTCTGAGCTAGGTCCCTAAGACTCATATATGTTTGATGTTTTTGGTGATGATGGTAACATAATCATCATCTCTTTCATGGACAAAAAGACAGGGCCAGAGAGGTTAGGTGACATGTTTTCAGTGACACAGTCAGGGCCAAGCCAGAAGTGGACTGCCATCTGTCTTGCTTCAGAAGTCACACCTCTTTATGATCTACTGTTCCTCAAGATTATTAAAGCAGAAATGGTACTCAGAAACCATATAATCCAGTATTGGAAAACAAACATAGCACATAGGCCCATTCCTTTGTCCAGGGCAGACATTACTAATTTATCCCAGCACTTCTTTCTGCTGAGTTTAGATCGGGTTTCAGAATTCTCAGTCTCATTGCAACCTGCTGGACTTGTAAATGGTTACAATATTTACCATCTCAATTAAACACAATGCTTTTTTTGTTTTATAGATAAAAGTCCAAAGCAGGGAAAGAAAAGGATTCGATTAGCATGGATGTGCAAGTTATGTCTGACCTCCTAAGCGTCCCAGAAGAGAAAGCAGTCTTACTGATACGATGGTAATAGAGAAGCAGGGACCTTTGTGAGCCACAGAACCAGAGGCTCTAGGGCTAGCTGTGTAGTGTGTATCATGCACAGAGGTTCACATCTGGGAGGAAGGGAGGTGGCCTGCTTTCTGGTCGGCACAGGCTTCCTAGGAATAGGACCTCACATTCGGGCACTTGCTCACTGGTTGGTGGGGCCGGTACTTGGCGCTCCCCACTTACCTTCTGTCATGGTTTGGAAGTACATCTTGCCACTGTAGCGCCCATAGCCCGCAACGGTGCGTGCCCGCACCTGGAAGACATAGATCGCGCCGGCTTTGAGGCCCTGCACGGTGACCGTGTTGGTGGGGCTTTTTACGGCTGTGGCGTTGTACTCACTGAGCTCCTGCTGGGGAACAGAGAAGATGGTTACAGAGAGCAGGAGCCTGCCACCTGCTGCTGCTCCTTGGGGCAGGCCCTTTCCAGTGCCAGGTTACCCAATCATGCCTGTGCCGAGTGACTCAAGAGGGCTTCCCACGGAAGCAGGCATAGCACCCTTCTGTCTTAGATCTGGATAGGTGGCCTGCTTTGGCCACTGGAATACTCTAGTAGGCACGGGAATGGGCATGGTGCAGACTCCACATGGTGCCTGATGATCTGGCTAGGCTTCTATGCTTCCACCTGCTGCCAGGAGAGGGGCTTGAACCAGGTTCCAGAACTAGGGAATTGCAGCTGGTTCCTGAACAAAAAAAAAAAAAAAATGTGTGGAGACCGTGACCCAACTCTTAGCTGAAATACGGCCATTTAACTCATGGACTCAAATCTATGAGCAAGTAGCTACCTCTTGTTGTATGCCATGATGTTTGTGGGATTGCTTGTTTTACAGCATTATCTCAGCAAGAGCTGACAAATACACGCATGTGGAGTGGCCACTGTCACATTCTAAGGACTAAGTTCTTGAAAACTGCAGTATGGAGACCCATGTCATCATTTCTAGACCTGGCTCTGCCATGGGCCTTTGTTTGTTTGTTTTGAGACAGGGTCTCATGTAGCCAAGCTAGCTTTGAACTTGCTATGTAGTAGAGGATGACTGACTTTGATCTTCCTACTTCGACCTCCCAAGCGTTGGGTTTATGGGTGTGCACCATCATGCCCAGTTTTATGTGGGCTTTTTTGCATTTTAGGAAGGCACTGTGGCAGCTGAGCCACACCCCCTACACCTCCATCCTTTGCCTTGATGAGTTTTGCAGATCACTTGCTTGGTCTCAGCACCCTAGGGGGAGGTGAGAACCAAGGCTTGGAGAAGGACAGTGACATTCAAGTTCACACATACTGTTTAGAGGCTCAAAACTGGGCTCCACATGGAGCCACTTCTAGTGCCCAGGACTTTGGGTATATGGGACATAATGTTTCCATCTTTGAGAGATGCAGATCACCATTCTGACTTTCTGGGTGTTGCCCCAGGCAACCTGAGGAGAACAGGACAAAGACCCAGCTGAGCAGTGGGACTACAGATGGGACAGGGCCTAGACTCAAGTAGTGCATGCTCACACATCTGCCAGCTACTCGGCAAACCTTCCCTGAGCATCTTCCTCATACTGGGCCTTGGCTGAGCACTAGGGTCCCACAGGAGACTGAGGTGTAAGCCCCAGCCTCAGAGCTCCAACCAGAACAGCTGTGTGGGGGTTCAACCTCTCAAAGAAGGGTAAGCTGATGGACAGCTCTGGGTCCTTTTCCAACACAAAGACACCCAGTCACACATGTTGATCATGTATGTGTGTCAGGTGCACAGAGTCCCAAGTGCATCCCGAGACAGTGAGAGAACAACGTCATCCCCAGCACTGAAGTGAACCTGCTTCCCGGATTCAGACACTGCTCTGCTGCTGGGATCATAAGAGCTGCCTAAGAGGGAAAATTGCTGGCTATGAAGTTCCCACAGTGCAAGGGAAGTAGAGAAGGCTGGGAGGAGAGACCTGGCCTCAGTGGGGGTCCACAGTGAGGTCAGAGAAAGCTCCCCGGAGAATGGAGGGCTCTGGACCGACCTTCAAAAATACACAGGAGCCACACAGGCAAAGAAGGGTCTTCTGGAGGAAAGAGCAGCAGGTGCAAGGGGTAGAGAAGAGCCTGGGATAGGAGGCCAGAGGGGACAGGCCTAGGAGTGTCTCCTGCTGTGTCCCATGCCAGGGAGCCAGGCATGGTTCTTGGGAGGCCCGGCAGGAAGCTGCTTTTCCTGGGCCCCAACACCTGTGCTCTCTTTCAGGGAGCCTCCTGGGCCCCCCAGCTGTGTGCCTCTCATCTTGGAGCCCCAGAACATCCGCTGGGTTGCCAGAGGGAGGGGATTTCTACCTCATCCTCTGCACTGTCAGCAGAGCTGCATTTTATTCTCCTGCATCAAGAGTGGGATTTGTTTAGCATCGTGGACGCTAACTCCACCCAGGATCACAGGTCCACATGACCCACATCTCCCAGTCTCTCCCAATATGTGCCCACTGTTCCCCAGCCACCCCAACTACTTACTGGCACATACAAACAGGTTGCTTAGATGAACAAATAACTTCTATTTTACTTTGTTTTGAAGATAGAGTTTCATGTAGCCTAGGATAGCCTGGAACTTGCTATGTAGCCAAGGATAACCCTGAACAGATAATCCTCCTGCCTCCACCTCCTAAATTCTGGGATTATAGACATGTACTACTGTGTCCAGTTTATGTGGTGATGGGGGTGGAACCCTGGGGCTTTGGGCATAGTAGGCAAGCTCTTTACACACTGAGCTGCAGCCTCAGCCCCAATTGATAAAGAATATTTTAATATTAATTTATTAATATGTATGATATTAATATAATGTATATTATATATTTAAAAATTTGTATTTGAGCCAGGCAGTAGTGGCACATGCCTTTAATCCCAGCACTCAGGAGGCAGAGGCAGGCAGATCTCTGTGAGTTCAAGGCCAGCCTGGTCTACAAAGCGAGATCAAGGACAGGTACCAAAACTACACAGAGAAACCCTGTTTCGAAAAAAAAAAAAGTATCTGTACGTATGCATAGCTCTTGAATATGGAGGTTAGAGGTCAACAAGAGTGTCTTTTTT